AAAGTAATGGGCAGATTTGGTAACAGTGATGACATGTCAGGATGTTAACGAGTTGGGTTTGTTTAAATGCACACAACAAAGAAGAGACGCTGACTTGAGAGCCCTGGAGATTTAATGTCTCTTCTGGACACACATAATAGATACAGAAGTAGCAACAAGACAAGCTTACTTTATACTGTGCAACTTGGAATTCAATCCTGACTTAAGGGAAAAGCTTATTGAGGTTGAGAAGAAAAATTGAATTCCAAAGCCTCATTTGCTGGTTTTGGCCTCTGAAGGCTGTCAACAAGAGCCAGTTTTGGATTGTGGATACCTGTCCATTAGAATAGGAGAGAAACCCAAGACACTAAACGTAATCCATAGAGCCATCAACAGTAATACCTTTTAACTGCTACAGACCTAAAATGAAATCATAACCTGTCACTAAGATGAGAAGGGCTCTCTGATCTGTTACATATTCCCTTATTTGCTCTATATTCAAGCATCTCAATTGTATGCATTTCTCCTCTGTAAAATCAACACAAAACATATGTCACCCTTGAAATGTACATTTTTTAAAGTCCTTATGAGCATACACAACCTAGCAAGCTTTATGGGTAGCATGACAAAAGCATACCTGGAGTCCAAGTCTGAGGCCAGAAAACATGAAAATTAGTTTAACACAAACATTCAAAGTCAGTCACTGTCCCAGGCTGAGCAGACTGGTAAAATAATGTTCTACCATCTAAGCAGATGTTAATGCTTAAAAACATATGAGATTTTACCAATACATTAAAAGAAGATTGATGAATAGTCGAGGGGTTAGATCCAGCACAAGATTTTCCTCCCACGGTTTTCTGATTCAGGTGTACTGCCACTTGAAACTCTTGCCTGTACTAACCCCTTTCTGTTTCTCCTTCAGAACATTAACTATAACCAAAACTCTATGCTACGTCAAGAGTCTACTGATGGAGAGCTGCTGCAACTTGATTTTAAATGGGGTATTTGTACATACGAGGTACTTGTACTATTAAAGGTTGTAAGGACAAGATACCCTAGATTTAGATTTATTCCCATTCTCAACAGCTGCAAAAAAAGGTTAAACCTCAATTTTTCCACTGCAAGATAAGGAAAAAAAATTAAAAGAATTAGAGATCTCTTCTACTGGGAGACACCGATCCATCCTTCCAGCTGTGCCTTAGTTAGCCCTTTATGCATACGTAGGCAAATGCTTCTCCTTCTGCTTCTAGGGAAGGAACAATCTGCACCCTCCCTTCCTCCCACAGTTGTATACTATTTATTCACAGGCTCCCCATGCTTCCCCTCCCCCTCTCTAGGGACAAGACAGTATTCCCAAATCTAAAGGAAAAAAATCCTCAGTCTTAAAGAATGGAAGCAATAGAATTCCAACCACCTATCTGCTGATCGTTAGCTGAGCAAGAAAGCCCATAGCTTGCCCTACAATTCCCTGAAATCCCTCCCTTTGGGGAAAAAAGGAAAAACAGAGAAAAAAAACCTGCTTGGAAGGCTGCCCTACAACAAACATGGTGTAGTCAGTGTAAATAGGGGTACTGGCAATAAAACCCCTATGAGTACCATTTGCTAGTAAGCCATGCTATTATTTTGAATTTGTTTCTCTGTTAAATTGCTATGCTAAAGCGCATCAGGTTCCAAGTTACCTGGGTAGCTGTTTCAGTATCCTCCTGATCAGAATTATGCCTTTCCACAGGACTGTTTAATGCAGGTCTAATGCTATCTGCACGCTGAAAGGTAAGCACCACAGATTTAGTATGCTATGTGAAACGCAAATACACACACACAAAATTATACAAATATGTTCAAGCTGTGCCTTTCACTCCCATCCATATTATACTCCACTTAAAACAGTTGTGGTAGCAATGAGAAGGCATGCACCTGCAACCGAGATGCAGAAAGAATGTACATGCTTCCCCCCCTTCACAGAACGGAAGGTACATAATTAGGTACAGTGCACCCTGTTTAATTCATAGGCCTCAGATAGAAAAGGCTATGTCCTGACCCTGAGAAAGCACTTAGCCAAAGGATGTAAACAATCTAACTTTAGGAACAGCTTGTGCTAAACTTTTTGCATGTCATTAAGGTTTGTTACCTTGTTTCTAATACCACTGTATATCCCTACAACAGGGTTGTCAAACTCAGCCAGACCCCGGCATTTAACTGACATGCAGATAACTGATGTTTGTTACAATACAAGCAATAGCAAAAAAAACGTGGACTGGCAATGCCTTGTGCTGTTCGGTAAATTATGTACTTCCTTTCCTTTTTCAGGTCCTTGTAACAAGGTATTTAGCAGAATTCACAGATTCATTGGAATCTTATAGGCCACACTGCAAGTGCTTCTGCTATGGCCTCACACTTGCAACCTCTGGGCTATAAACTCCGTGCCTCGGCAACCACATTACCCCAGCCTCCCTTATGCCGTATTCCGTTTATATGTATGTTAGATAAATGCATAACTCAATACTGATATACAAAACAGCATTCATAGACAAGACTCTCAGACAGTTTTTTTATTGTAATCCAGTATCTTGAATAAGAACTAGTTATTATTTTGTTGACTACTTCATTCGCAGTAAACTCTCTGAATAATACAACCTGATCAACACATCAGAGAGAAATCAGCTGGAAATGCCATAGCAATATAATAATGCAACTGGAGAGGTGTCTAAAACTTCTGAGTAAATCATTTAATTTTAGCTCAGATATTAAAATCTTTTCTGTGTAAAAACAGGCTGTTCCTTTAAAAAAAAAAAAAAAGACATACATACATTCTAGGAAATGGGTTGATATATTTTAAATTTTGTATGCACAGAATGAGATAATCATTCACAGACCATGTGTCTTTAAAATGTCTTGTTTCTACTCCACAGTAAGACATTCAAACTAAATCAGATGTTGCAATACTAACAGCTACATTATGCTAAGGAAGCTTGATTTACAGTTGCATTAGAAGATGCCAATTTTTATGGAGATGCAATCTGAATTATAATGCTACACTGACCAAACCCTATGCTAGTGCTAAAGCAAGGAAAAACTGAACATTCAACACATTTCATTTCCCTAATTCATTCATATATTCTCATCTGTGCCTGAGATCTGAACTGAATCCAAGCCATTGATTTTAAAAAAACAACCACTGTTCAAAACATGATCTCATGCCTGACCTGTGTAGGAAAGGGCACCTGGATACGCCCTTCTAAGATGTTGTCAGTTGTTATTTCTACAGAGCGGGTCAGCTGCAGATCCTGAAGAACTAGATGGTATGGAACCTGAGGAAACATCTCTTGAATCTGATGTGCCTGTAAAAAGCAAAGTTTTATAATGTTAAAATTGGAACACCACAAATGATCCAGCAAGTGCCTCAAAAGTTCCATAATGAAAGGGGACCCAGAAGCCCAGATTTTTCCAACCTGTGTTTATATAGGCCAGATTGCTTCCAGTGACCGCAATTCCATTTCCAATGACACTGTCATTACAGTAACTGCATGACTGATTTCGAAATGCAAGTTCTCATCTGTCTTTTGGGACAGAAGCCACAACAGTTGAACTGTTTAATGGCATTCTTGAAGGGGACTAAAGTTTCTATGTCCCCAGAAACTACAGACAAGTAACTGTAGTTTTGTCACTTTGGCAAATGCACTAGGAAATGTTACAGGACAGACTGGTAGTAATTCTCACATTCAGATGCAAAAAGAAGAAACTAAGCTCATAATTACATTATTAATTCCACTAAAGTCAATGGCAAAATTTTGACTTCAATCAGACAAGAATTTTACTCTGAAGCACTATATTCCCAGATTATTCCCCTGAAGGAATACACGTGTCCAAATGACCCACGAACACCTTCTGGAAGTCTTTTTAAATAAGTGTTTACATATAAACAGGTATGATTCCTCAATAACTAAAGTTAGCTCACATTTCAAAACCATTATAACTCAATCCCAGGCTAAGGCTGAAATGGCACCGATAAATCAAAGCATCAGTAGCATCAGTTTTATTGAGCAACTCTCTCTCAAACTACAACCAGTTATTGTTTTGTTTTAACTCCTTATGAAAGCCAGAGGAAACAACTTTCAAATGGACTGAAGTCCGAACTCCCAACTAACAGTCCACTGGATGTCAAGCTGTTTAAATAATGAGCAGCTGAAACCAAAAAGAGAGAGGGGAATCAAAATTATGTGCTTTTAAAGGTCTGAAATCTTACTAACTCCTATGGCTGAAGAAAAATTTGAGGACCTCTACAAATGCTTTCAGCATCAGTACATCTTTACAAAGATCAGAAAGGGAAGAAGCACATGGAAAATAGTGTGTTTCAGAGCACAGGGATAACATAAGGCACACAATGGCAAGCATTTTTGAACTAGTTCAAGAACCACTATCAGACGAAGAGTAAAACATAACAATTCCTTCCTCTTTCATTAGTCTGTGATCAAAATAGCAGCTTCAGCATTTTAAATCCCTAACAATTTATCTCAATATCCTTTCCTGAGGTTTTTGTTAGAAATACAAAGCAGAAGATTGCTTAATTTTCCAATTAAAAAGTATAAAAGTTCGGTTTGCTAACACAGAGGTTTTTTCCTTATATTAGACCAGAAGTGTTCAAACCCTACCCTATGAGCCAGATTCAGCCCCTGGAGTTATGCCATCCAGCTTGCAGGGCTCCCCAGGGTCTGAACATTTGGTGGCAGGGGAGCAGTAACACTGCTCACGTGCTGCCAAATATCTAGACCTATGGGGAGCCTCTGGGCCAGATAGCATGGTCTTATCCACTAGATTGGACACATGGGGTGGCACTGGGCCTGATCCCAGCACATGGGGCCAGGTGGGGGTGTTGTAAGGCCCCAGGCCTGATCTCAGCACTTGGGATTGAGGCAGGAAGGTGTAGCACAAGGACCCAGAGCCCAAGTGCAGCACATGAGGACCATTCGAGGCCATGCAAGGCCCAATCTGGGCATGCAGAGCCAGGCAGAAGCAGCACAAGACCCGATCCTAGTGCACCCAATCCAGCCTGCAGACTGGCCTCAAGCCAAAAAATTGAGCACCGCTGCATTAGGCAATTTAAAAGACAATGCTAAATTATATTAAAATATGTACAAACATAATAAATTATTAGACAGCCTAGACAAAATCCATCCAATGTCATCATATCCAGTAAACAAGGAATAGCTGGTGTTTGTCTGAAGAGTCTGTGAAAGTTTAAATTACTGCAATAAATTGCCTAGAAACTCAATAATATTGTAAAAGTTCTGTTAACCGGCATGCCGGCTTTGTAAGATAAAGTGAAACTGGAAGTGCCCACTGTGTCACTTTCGGTTTCTCCAAGTCCCCACAGCCCGGGGCAAAGCAGCCTGTGCTGCCGAGCCCCCACAGACCGGGGGCATAACAGGCTGTGTGGGGCCTGCCTCTCTGTTCCACAGGGGCCGCAGGAGGGGCAGTGATGCCATGGGAGGGGCAGTGGGACACCCCAGACAGCGGGAGAAGTGGGTCACTCAATTAACTGGCATATTTTGTTATCCAGCATCCCCCATTCCTGGGGGATGCCAGATAACAGAGCTTTTACTGTACTTAAATTGTACTCTTATACAGGTTTAGTGGCAGAGACACCAGTATAGTTAAGTCTTCTATCAGAAAGACTTCATTACTTTTGCAAGACACATCAGTGAACATTTATTAACATATTCTACAGGAGAGTATCCTAAATAGTTTAAACTAAATTAGATCTGCCAGACAAAACAAAAGAAGTACATATATCCCTTTCATTCCAACACAAAAACACCCACGCACGCATAGGAGTACACACCATTAACTGGGCTTACCATAGCATTGAGCTGGGAGTTGCTTGCCTGTGTAATACCAAGGATATTGGTAGTATGCATCACTTCCACTGAAAAACTGGGTAGCCAGCTAGCAATACGAGAACCTAAAAGAAAGAAAGAAACCAAAAGATCACAGGTGTGAATACAGGTGGTTTCGAGCTGAGCTTTTTGTACAACTACAGTTTATACAACTGTCTACTTCAAGAGCGGGCAATTATTTCAGGCAGAGGGCTGCTTATAGAGTTTTGGCAAGCCATCAAGGGTCACAAGGGTAGCCCTGCCCCTCAACAGTGCCCTACCCCCTGGTCGCCATCTTGGGACCAGAAGTCCCACCCCTAGCCCCTGACCTTTACTATTGGAAGGTCCCTCCCCTTGCCCCCCCCCCCAATACTCCTTTCAGCAAAGTTTTGCCATCTCGAAGCCAGAAAAATACCAAATTATATTCTAAAAATCAAACATTTACTACAACATTTGATTTCAAAAAATATTTTTGTCCTAGTTCACATATGTTTGTGTAGTGTACACACGGGTGATTGCCAGGGATTGGGGTTTTACGTTTCCTACGGAAAAACAGAGAAAACCACGGATCCCCTGTTTTTAGCTGGAGAAAATGAGGATTTCTCTTTCTGGCAGAGAAATCTGTGGATTCTCCGCTTTTGCAAAGAGCTCTTGCAGGCTGGCACAGCACCAGCCTGCAAGAGCCAATTGCAAAAAGGGCGGGAAACCCGCAGCCCTGGCCAGAGGGGGAGGGAGAGGGGGGAGGGCAGGGCCTGAGCCTCTGAAGCAGCCAAGGCCAGGCTCAGGCTCAGACTCGCCCTTCGCCCCTGGAGCATGGAGGTAAGTGGGGCCGTGAGGCAGGGATGGGGAAGATGGTTGGGGGCTGAGGTAGCGAGGTGGTGCTGCTGGCCCCAGGCAGCACATCGCAGCTGGCAGCAGAGCCAGGCTGTGAGGGTAGGAGAGCCCCTCTGCAGGGGGGCTTTGCAGGCAAGCGATGTGGGGCACAGTGTGGTGGTGTCTGACCTTTCAGATAAAGATTACAGAAACAAGACAGACAACCATAAGTCCATTGTGCAACAGAGCAACATCTGAGCTGCTCTGCTATAGGCAGGCTGGGAGCTCCGTTAGTGCAAACCAAACTGAACCACTATCAACCTACACCAAACCAAAATGGTTTCAAGATGATCAAATGACAAAACTTGGGGGACAACTGGGAAAGACAGCACACCAAAATCTGAAAGATTTGCAAGGCAGGTTTTGTCTGCTCCAGCAAGAGCCGATTTACCTGCATGCCTTGGGACCAGTGAAAAGTTCATGTGCTTTGTGAGTACATCACGTAATATGTTACCAAACCCAAAAGAAACAAATCCCTTGCAAGAACAAACCTGCTTTGATTGTAAGCTTTCTTTTAAAGGCAAGTTCTCTCAGACCTCTAGAGGTTCTGATGGGGCCAAGTCTTGTAAGGCCTTTGCATGCTGTAACTAGTACAAGGGGGATTAAATGGAGCTAATATTGATGTACCTAACCAGGACATCAACAGAAACAGCCTTTTAAGATTGGACACTGATCAGACAGCAAAGCAAAGAAACAAACACAGGAAATTCCTGCTCTATCAATGGACATGAAAACATATGGAATAAACAACAATTCTAAAACAGTCAACCAACTGTGCAAAACTCAAGGAAACAGGAGGAGCCACATAGCGGTCAAGACACAAAAGGGCTCTCTAAAGTCTGTGTGTACTCTTGGAAGTACACATCTGAGTTGCTGTGAAACAACACTCCCCCCTAAATATGAAAAGGGGGCAATGGGGTTCCTATGATTTAAGTCAGGGGTTTTCAACCTTTTTTAAGGAGAGCACCCCTTCTGGTGGGTACCCGCTTCCAGACGTGAAGCAGAGGGAGAAGGTGTCCCCCTGGCAGCCAAACGCAAAGCGGTAGTAGCGATGGCGCACAGCAACAGCAGTGGCGTGGCAGCGTGCAGGCATATGGCAGCAGAGCTTCCCAGATAGCCCCGCTTCTGCACGCTGCTACCACGTCCTCCCTGGGGCTTTCCCAAGTACCCCCAGTTAACAACCCCTCATTTAAGTTTACCATAGACTGCAACGCAGATTCACCTGCAGAGAAGGCTGCTCCTCTTTGGTAGGGGGGGTTTTGAATAATATCAACTTAAAAGCCTGGATGACTAACCATCAAAATGGAAGAAGTGATTATGTTGGTTCAAGTGGGGTCTGCCTTCTGCTACTGCCACAGGCCCCAAGTTCTCATCCAGGTTCTCTCTTTGATGGTCCTCTCTAACCCGATGACTGTCTGTGATATTAAGAGACATTCTGCAGGTGGGGCAGGATGTATCCTGTTCAAGCCAGGATCGTAGGCATGAGCTGACAAGAAACAAGGCAACAAAGTACCAATGAGCTTACAGTGCTTGTCTAAGGCATCAATATCATGAGTAGACTGACAGGAGGCAGTATATTCCATGTAGCTTATTAACACATGCATGTCAACACCCTGGAGACATTTTCAAATTCCTTGAAGGCTTCCAACCAGAACTACAGCTTGCTTGGTCTTTTCAACCAAAGAAAGGGTACTTTGCTTCCATAAACTAACTTCCAAGCAAACCCCCGCCACCTGTAGAGAACCTCAGTAATTGGCCAACTAGTAATTCAACTTGCCCAACTAGCTCAGAGCAAGTAATTTCTACTTGAAAGGGGAAATATAATGATTCTTTAGCATCAGTGATAATAGTAACCAAGTAAGGAGATTTTGTGGTTGGACTGGTTAATCTTCAAGGTAGTCTCATTAGACTGGTCTGGTGTTCCCACTCCAATGAACTGCCTCAATGTTTTTCTTGAAATATTTAGTTTTATCCATATAGTTATGAAGCATGAGAACTTGATGAACAGAAAAAAAAAATCACTGATGCAAGTGAAAGCATATTCAGGGAGCCCTTTTCATAAATGCTAATGATTAATTAGCTTCTGCTACTGAAAAAAACAGGGATTGGAGTTCCAGAACTTAGAATTTCACCAAGCACTTTGCTTCCTGATTGAGACTGGACTGACCCAGTTGTGAAATTTTCTCCATTCAAAATCTTTTTCTTTTATAAAGGTTCAATATACTTTCTTCAAACATTTTAGCATTCTAGTCCACTTTGTACTTGCATAATGTTTAGCAGCAGAGGATCTCAATGCATGTTATTGGAGCAATCAATAAATATAACATCCATTTTACAAGTTGTAAAACTCAAGTAGACATCAGTCAAGTGACTTGCTCAATGCCAGACTACAAGTCAGAGGCAAATGTTCTAAGTCCAGTGGGTCAAGCAGTCTAATTAAACTGAATAAACAACTGATAGCCAGATATGAGAGTAATGGGCATGCTAGAAATGGCAAAATGGATACAGTGAAAAATCTACATCAACTTGGTCCTCCAGAGAATGCACCAAGAAGCACATAATTGTTACCACTGTTGTTCCATCATTGAATACAGCCATTTATTTGCTCATATAGCAAATAAATCTGAGGTACTGCTGAGAAGGCAAATTCAAATCACGCTCTCCTAAAAGCTATAGATAGAACTTTCAAAGAGACCTAAAAGATGTAGCTGCCCAATTCTTATTATAATTTAGTAAGGTTTGGGCACAAGGCTGATCTAAACTATATGAATCTGCTCTGCTGTCTTTTTACAACCCCAAGATAAATGACTACACAGTCCTGTACAACTGAGGACAGGAGAAAATGCTTCATGTTTTGTCTGGTAGTATCAAAAATAAACTGAAAGGAGAAAATTAATTCTTAGTAGATAAAAAGGTTAATTTATTTGATTATTTATTTTGCATTAGAGTTAAATCATCCAATGCTGCCTCTCTAAACTGTTGGCTCCATGCAGCTGAGATTAATGTAGCTTCAGAGAGAATGCAGAGATGCCATTTTAGGTACATGGGAAACCATTTCTCTTAAGAGGAGAGTCAGAGTTTCTTAAGTGCATGACTGATGATTAAATAAGAATTTCCGCAGCTTTATAATAAGAATTTCTGCAACAGCAACAAATTATCTCATTAGAGGCTTACTGGAAGGCAGATAAATATGTATGACAAGGTTTGCAGCAAACTACAACAAATTAGCCCCCAGATTATAACCTCTGATTTGATGATAAACTGTCAAAAGAGCCACAGAAGGAGTGCTTAACAAAGGGTGGTGGCTCATATAAACCACAAAAAATGAATTTAAGTGGCTCTTCAAGTAAATCAACCTTCATTGTTAAGTTCTTGCCTCCATAGCCACCCCCCATTTTTTTAAACACATGGCTGGGGTATCATCGGTCTTCTATTTTTCTTTACCATCCAAAAAGCAACGTTGCATGGAGGTTGGAATAAGGGATAAAGGAAAACAAATTAGCAATGCTCAAATCATGCTACGTTACACTTCCTGCAATCAATCAATTCAACACTATCACTTCCCCAGATACATACTTGTGAAAGAGGTGCCCACATGGAAGTTTACGTGCAGACTGCATGGAGTCCCAGCAAATGGCACAATCATCATTATTAACAGCGAGTTCTTCAGGAGTTGCAACTGCAAACCTACAAAGGAAAAAAGCCAAGTAATTGATTACATGAACCCCAATACAGCTACAGAACTAGCAGCTGTTCCACCAAAAAGCCTAATTCTTTGCACTCACCATTCCCTCTGGGAAAAGGTGAAGCAGTAGTTTGCAGTCTTTTCCAAAGCCCAACCTCATATTACAACAGCAAAAAAAGTTTGAATCTATCACCTAACAATTCTGGAACCACAGCATTATCTACCTCAAAAGGGACCTGTCTTCACTCTCCCTAAGGCCTCGATTACTAGGTTGAGAACTCCCATGTACAGTGTTGGCTCAAGAAAAGGTGATACTTCTTAAAAACCAATGCAGTTGTTCACATCAATTTGAAAATTATTTTTCTTTTAGGTGTGAGTGATGGTTTCAGGCATTTTTTTCTGCACTTCAGTACAAACTCTGCATTTTTATGTCATGGGCAAACAGCTTAGCTCTAGCAGTCCTGTGCAGATGCTACGTTAGTGATACTACAGTAAGGTCACTTTACGGAAGAAGTGCACTCGCAGGCAGGGCAATGAATCCTGCCAACAGTTTCATGAAGAATCTTTCAATATCTTGCAGAGAAATCATAGAATGCCTGCAGCATGTCTAGGCCACAAGTTTCTTTTGCCCAGCCGCAGTGCCCTCAAACACTACACTGCTCCCAGTAGGCTGTCTCCTGACCCGAGTAGCCACCTCCATGCAGGTTCTGTGGACTGGTTAATTAGCACAGTCGAATGACAGTGCCAGTATGCTCACTCACAGCATAGTACAGGCACAGCTACACTACTTCTGGTTCAGGGACATGTCACACAGCAGAGCAAAATGTATGAAGACACCATTCCGAGGTACAGTAAGTTCGCTCTTGAGAGCTAACTGGTAGGGTTATGCTAAGCTTTGGTCCCCGATTCGATTTAGCAGAGATTCAGCCTGATTTGGTGGTTGAATCTCCGAATCCGAATCAAAATCAGGAGACCCTTTACACTCTCCAAATTGAATTGGAAACCTCTGAATCAATTCAGACAGATTCAGAAAGATTCAACGATTCGGATATAGATGCAGCTTTAAATGTTTTTTCTACATACCTCAAGGTACCAGACGGCTTGCAAATGCTGCAATGCTGGGGCAGATGGAGCATCCCACAGGAGTGCAGGGAGCTCCCCAGCAAGCTTGGCAGCAGGCTCAAAAGTGGACCAGAAGCACTTCCAGGTCCGCCAGGGAGCACACTGGGGGGGTCCCCCCTGCACCTCCCTGGCTCAGTGGCTGGTGCCTCCCGGGGCTGGGGGGGCACCC